TTTTAATTTGAAAAATTATATTTTTGTAAGATAATTTTTCGTAATTAATTATAAGTTTCATGCACAAAGTGTTGATTTTATATTTGAATTGTCCATAAAGTATGTGGTTATATTGTGCTTGGACAATTTATATTAGAACAATTATGTTGGTAATTCTGTGATTACATTGGTGATTAATTATACTATCTATATACTTATATAATAAGTCATCCTATTTACTATATTTAGTAGTAAGAAAAATCAACATTAATTAATGCATCCTATTTTTAGGTTAGTATTTTATTTATTTATTTTATTTATTTGTTTTCCCCATTACATCGGTTTAATCAAAAAATTCCAATAAAATCTATTTTCTCAAAAAATTGTACGTAAAATCCAAAAAAAAGGCATATCCGATCGGTGATAAAAGATTTGATCGGTCAAAATTATATCTTTATTTTACATCACCCATAAATAAAGCAGATATCAAGCCTAAATTAAAGGGTTAGTTGTGTATTGATTTACGTAAATACATCTAATTTTTAAAATTTGTATATATTCAAAATTCCATCTTATCTTTTTATCGCCGATCGTATCTAATTGTATGGAAATCTGTTCAGATTTGTTTCTCTAGATGTAATCTGATTTCTGTATAATGAGATTTTTTTCATGAAAATATTAACCGCGATTGTATCTATCGATCGAATATAAATTACAAATCTCAAAATATTGAGCCATCGTCTTCGTCCCTGTCAACCTCCAGCGAACAAAAATATCCCCAATTAGTCTGTTATTCAAAACAATGAATCCAAGATTTGACTTAATCAAACAAGTTAAAAGGTCTAATAGGCCTATGCTGAAGGCTCGAATTGTAAGAATGTTTTTTCAAGACCGGGGCAACATATACAAATCCTATCTCGAGTTGGTTCTTCATGATAAAACAGTAAGCCAAATTATTTTTACTTTTTTTTTTAATTTCGAACTATGAAACGTATATTTTCTACTTTTATAATTTTATTTTTTAAATTTAAAATTTGGCTTCTTTCTTTTTATCATGTATGTATTCAGATATTTAAATTATTTTTATTTTTTAAAAAAATTAATTTTTTATTGATTACTTTTTTTTACATGTTTAGGGAAATCGCATTGCGACATGACTACGGACAATCAACTTGACTGCGTTTAGAGAGAGGAATTTTGAAGAGGTCATGATCATTTGTATCAAGAATTACCAAGTTGACAACAATCTAGGAAAGTGTCATTCGACATCTGGTGATTTTAAGATCATGCTACACGGGAGCAATTATATGTTGTTGTTTCGCGTGTAACTAATAGAAGGGGTTGAAGATATTAGTTTGTGAGGATGACGAGTTGTCCAATAATCAAACTCATATGTTGTGTACAAGTAGGTCTTTCATAATATATGATTGTTTCTTTTTCGAATACTACTTTGTGTACAATTTTCTTGCGTATTATAAATTTTTTTATTGAATACTGCATCTTATAATATAATACTAGTACGTACCCCTTGCGATGCACGAGACAAAGATATTAAATGAGTTATTTTCGCTGCCTTGTCGGTTTAAGTCTAAAAAGTAATAATGTTATTATCTCTTTTCTACCTCTTTTAATCAACGTTAAGTCTAAAAAATTATTAAGCCGCCCTCTGACAAATATGTATGAAGTTATGTGTTCGTGTCTCATAAGTCACAAACATTATGGATAACATTACAAATTATTCATTCAAACTTTTATTAATTGCAAATATATTAAAATAGTTTATATAACAACTATTAAATACCACTTTCAATGTAATGCACGAGACAAAGATATTAAATGAGTTATTTTCGCTGCCTTGTCGGTTTAAGTCTAAAAAGTAATAATGTTATTATCTCTTTTCTACCTCTTTTAATCAACGTTAAGTCTAAAAAATTATTAAGCCACCCTCTGGCAAATATGTATGAAATTATGTGTTCGTGTCTCATAAGTCACAAACATTATGAATAACATTACAAATTATTCATTCAAACTTTTATTCATTGCAAATATATTAAAATAGTTTATATAACAACTATTAAATACCACTTTCAATATATTTATAAATAAAAAGTACATAAAATTTATGGTGTGTTCAAATTTAAATAATTTTTTATGGGCTCAATTTTAAATCATTCAGACATTTGGTCAAACGCATAGGTGTGTTCAAATTTAAATCATTGGCATTTTGGTCGGTCGAAATTTAAATCATCTACCATGGTACTGTGATGTGTATTGTATATATACAATTTTTTAACAAATAATATGTGCTTTATAAAAATAATAATAATAATTTCACAAGATTTTAAACGTAAAATTTGGTTTTTAATCACAATAGAAAAATGATGGTAAGTTGTATTGAAAATGTGTTATGAGATAAAACAATTAACTAAAATAATTAAATAAAATACTTGATGGAAATAGAATGCATTAATTACCTTTGACTTTTCTTACTACTAATTCTAGTAAATAGAATGCCTTTTTATATAAGTATAGATTCCCCAAATAAATATATCACGTGCCTCGCACAGGTCACATATATCTCGTACATTTTTCTTTATTCATTTATATAATTATGAGGCTGTATAAATAGCCTTCAAATTGTGCACCCCGTGCATCGCATGGGCTCTGTACTAGTAGTATTAATCACATTTATAAATTAAAAATATTAAATCAATATGTAATACAATTTACCTATATTAATTTGTTGAAAATGTTACAGAAAATTTAAATTATGGAAAATTATATAAAACATGTCTATTTAAAATTAGTACACGACCCTTAAGGTTAAGTGATAATAAATCATATTTTATTTATTTCAAAATAAGTGTCATTTTAAAATTTTTATTCAGAAATTCTATTTGACTACAATGAGATCTCTTCATTTAATTTACTATTCATCCACTTACATAATTTTAACTACATATCATTTCCAATCATTTATCTCTTACTTTTACATCAAATCAATAATAATTATTTTATTTTAAATATTATTTTAATACATTATTAAAATCCCACTAACAACTGACTATACCACAGTTTTCAAATTTAACTCTAGTTAATCAAAATAACTAATTTTGAGCAAATTAATTGATAAACAAGCATGCCCTTAGCACTCTGAGGAGGTAATGAAGCTCAATTCGACGACGTGCTCGTTCGGTGTCAAATCGAATAAATTTTTAGGCTACATGGTGACAACGGGGGATTGAAGTCAACCTGGAGAAGGTTTGGGTTGTATTGGAGATGTGACCACCTAAATGCATAAAGAGGTCCAGGTCTCAACGGGGTAGATCACATGCTTAAGTAGATTCATCTCGAAGGTGATAGAGAGAAGTAGTCCACTATTCAAAACACTTAAGAAGTGCTCGAAGTTCGCATGGACGGAAGAGGTGCATAAAGCCTTTGAGGAGCTGCAGGTGGTATTGACAAACATACCACCATTACCAAACTTGTTAAGGTCGAGGATCTCGTACTGTATATTTTGATTGGCACAGCCGCAGTGAGCTCGGAACTTTTAAGGGATGAATGGACTGCATAATTGTCGATTTACTATGTTAGTCGAGTAATGCAAGGTTCGAGCTAATGTATTTAGAAATCGAGAAAGGTTCACTGGCAATGGTCGTCATTGTTTAAAAGTTGAGGTCATATTTTCTAACACATAAAGTGCGAGTGAGGACGAATCTACCTTTGGTGAGACTCTTGGTCGACCAACTATTTCAAGTCGTATGGTGACTTGGGCTATCGAGCTCCACGAGTACACTATCAAATATGAGCCTCGGAGAGTGATCAAGGCTTAGGTTCTACCCGATTTCATTCAAGAAGAAACATGTGTTGAGCTCGAAGTCGAAGACAAATGGCAGATGTTTGTGGACGAGTCAGTTTCGAAAGGAGGAGCGGAGTTGGAAATCATCCCGACCTCCCAGAGGACAATAACATGGAATTTGCGACCAAGTTGAGCTTTCGAGTGTCAAATAATGAAGCCGAATATGAGGCGCTGGTGAAAGGATTACAATTGACCATAGATGGAGGAGCTCGGCAAGTTCAAGTACACTCGAACACCCAGCTGGTAATAGGGCAATTTTAGGGTGATTTTAAGACTTAAGGAAGATAAATTGTAGAGGTACATTGACGAGGTTCGACCTTGCGCAAAAGGAATTCTGCTTGCCACTAGTTATAATTAACTACATCGTGCACTTGCAAAGAAAAAAAATAATTAGCGAATAATGTCCAACTATATTTTGAATGGCATAGCTATAAATGATGTTAAGCTATTTTGAAATATGGGGCATTCTCATGGATATACATTTTCTGTTTTACAAAAATTATTTGTGTTACATGGTAATATGATGAAGTCATGCAATAGCACAACAAAATCATCTATTAGCATGACTAGTGATGGCAATGGGGAATTCCCCATCGGGTATTGACTCCCCATACCCATCCCCGTGAGAGAATTTTCTCCCCATGGGGATCCCCATTTATGCTTTCGGGGAGGATTTTCTCCCCATCCCCATTACCCGCGGGGATAAATCCCTATCGGGGATCCCCATACCCGCTAATTGTTATTAATATGTATTTTATTTATACTATGTAGGTGGCATAACATCACATTATATGATTTCAATTTATCACATTACATACATAATATGATAATATGTTTACATATTTAATATATTCTCATGTAATTACATCATCATTCATGTGTATGTATAAATATATTGGAATAACTAGCATGTATACTAGCTTAACGGGTCCCCGCGGGTAAACGGGGACGGGGATTGGTTCCCCATCCCCATACCCGTTTACCCGTCGGGGATGATTTT